CTCCTAACAAATTAGGGAGAGACAAGACAAGATTATAAAATGATTATCATATTACAATTATGATTTGGAGGATGGAAGATTTTTGAGGCATGTTTGGTTGCCATGGAACCAAGCAAACGTCTCTAGGAAAGTTGGTAGCTTGCTTCTCACAATTCTGCTGCTCACTGTTTAATTGACAACTTCCCACTTTCTCCCAAAAATACTCAGGATTTTCATTTGGAAAGGCAAAATCCTAAAGAGGCTAAACACTTTTTTATCGTCTAAATTCACTGTAGTTAAAGACTCTAGGAGCAATCGAGCATTAAGGTCCTAGGATTCTTTTGTTAGAATCCATATCGATTAGCAACCAAATACAATTTTATAATTTTTTAACATTTTTTAAAAGAGAAAATATATATATTAAGATTAATAAGTTACTTTTTGTATTAACCTTTAATATTCAAAAATTATGTTAAATTTTAACTAATTTAAAATTGAGTTGATCATAACCCATAAGAGAGAAATTGTCTCAACAACTATTTCTCCATTTATAAGACTTGAACTCAAAATTTTGTTTAAAAAAAATTAAACTCCTTTTCCTTGGTCAAATTAGTAGAGTATTAACTATTAATCAAGGTAGGAATGGGAGTCAAGAAATTATGGCTTAGTCAATAAGAAAGTTTTCTCTTCATCTTATTAATTAAAGTTTAATTTCTTGAAAAAGTCAATAAAAAAATAATTTCTCATGAATTCTCTAATATAAATGTAAATGGTTTCCCTTTAACTTAATCAAAGAAAAATTAGTCTCAAAATGCACTAAGTATAAGTTGACCTAAAGACACCATGACGACTAATTTAGAAATGAAGTATGGTTATTGTCACATTAATTTGTATAAGGTCACATAATATTTTCTTAAAAAATTGACTTAATTTGGTGTAATTGTTAAGAATAGTTAATAGTTAGAACTGTTAATTAATAGAATAATTAATATTTAAAATATTAGTTAGCAATTTGAATCAATATATAGATTGATGTTTTAAAAAATTATAATTAACTGTTTAAAAAATAATAACAAGATCAATCAAACCAAACACAACTTATATTATTCATGTAGCCTTACAAAAACCCGTTTTGGCAATAACCATACCCGTAGGTATGGTAGTATAAAAGTAACTTTATTGTGAAAGATCTAAGAACAAATTTTAGTAAAGGTTAAATACCTTTTTTGGTCCCTTTATTATAGGAAAAAGTCCTTTTTTAATCCTTGTAGCGAAAAAATCCCTTTTTTAGTCCCTAAATTTCAAAATTCGACCCTTTTTTGGTCATTCTGTCAGTTAAGTGACAGAGTGGCACTATAATCTGTTAAATATTTTGTCTTTTTTCTTTTTTATTGTTGATGTGTTATTACACGCTAATCAATAGAATGCCACATGGAAAAAATTGATGATGTGGACTAAAACAAACTTGATGGCATTTTTCTTTTTTCATGTGATATTTTTTTCATATTTAAATAAAAACTCACATAATTTATTATTATTATATTCTTTTTCTTCTTCCTCCCTTCTTCTCTCTTATCCCTTCGCCCCTTCCTCTTTCTCAACCTTCTTCCTCCGCGAACCCAGCAGGGGGGTTCCATGAGGAACCCAAGACCTGGGTTCATGAAACCCAAATCTGGGTTCCGCGAGTAACCCAGTAGCGGGTTTTGCGAACCCAACTATTGGGTTTCGCAAACCCAGTCCCAAATCTTAGTTCCTCGCGGAACCCAGAGGAACACAATAGCGGGTTTCGCAAACCCAGCTACTAGGTTTCGCAAACCCAGTCCCAAATCTGGGTTCCGCGAACCTAGTTGCTAGGTTTGCGAAACCCGCAAGGAGCCTTGGATTCTTCTTCTTCTTCTTGATCGAACTCTGGGATCTTCGTTTGATTTCTGTTTGTTTTCCTTTAGTTCTTTACCTTCTTTCTTTTGATTGAAATGCATTATGTAGTTAAGATCGTGTTTTCTTTGAATGTGTTACGAAATAGTGCTCGGTTTTAGTTGATTTGCTGTATAATAGCTGGAAGTATATGGAGATGGAATTTGGAGAGCGTTTTGAGTTGATTAAGAGTCAAATTCTACTTTGTTTTAAGGAAAAAGAACCTGATAATCTTGATTTCTTGTTTTTAATGGATTGCTAATATTTGATTATTGAGGTAGTGGGGGATGATTTTGAGCTCGTTGAGGAGTATTTCGACAATAGTTTGCTGAATCTAGATGTCTACAATGCCTTGGAGAAGTGCTTGCAGTGCCCGCCTGGGTTCGTCGTGAACCTAGGACGAACTCACCCAGCTCGCGCCTGGTTCTCGATGTAGACGAGAACCCAGGCCCACCTGGGTTTGTAGTGAACTCAGGACGAACCCACCCAGGTCGCGCTGGGTTCGTCGGGAACCCAGGCACGAGCTGGGTTGGTCCTGGGTTCGTGAAGAACCCAGCGCGCACCTGGGTTCGTCAAGAACCCAAGATGAATCCACCCAAGCCTGGGTTCTTCACGAACCCATGAACAATGAATCCAGGTCACACCTGGGTTTGCGACCTGGATTGGAGCTGGGTTCGCCTAGAGGTAAAAGAAAAAAAAATAAAGAAAAAAAAATAAAGCCCAGAGGAAGGAGAGGATGGGGAAGAAGATGGGGGTAAATTAGTAATTTTTTTTTTCATGTTAGGAGAGTGACGTGGAGGGTGTCATTAAATCCACGTAAGCATCTTTTACATGTTGGCATACCCACGTCAGCTGTTCCAGTTAAGTTAACGTGCCATGTGAGCAAAAATTAATGGAAAGACTAAAAAGGGGTCGGATTTATGAACAATAAGGATCAAAAAGGGGATTTTTTCGGTATAGGGATCAAAAAGGAGCTTTTTCCGATAGTAGAGAGACTGAAAATGGTATTTAACCTTTTAGTAAATGAACAAAGTAATGAAGGACATTGCAAAATCGGTACACAAAGTTGTGAACGTTTGGTTGGGTTGTTGGCCACACCGACATATAATACATGAAGATGCAGGCAACTCATTTTGTGGAGTTTCTAATTTAGTTTTTGATTATACTAGAGTTATAATATCATATAAATATAATTATAATATAATATTAATGAATTCGATTAACATTAAATAAAAATATATATAATATTATAGATAAATTTTTAAATAAAAAAATCAATTATATAATTACATATTATATTGTAAATTTATAATATTACGTAATATTGCTACTATAGCACTTTTTTTTTTCTTTTTTTTTTTATATTAGTTACATAATGAGAAACAATTATCTCTCATTTCTTATTTCACTCTACTCATATGTCATATGATTCGAACTCATGATCTCTTATTTTCAACGAAAAAAGATGATTATTAAATTATTTAAATAATTTGTAACACTTTCTTTTAGTTTTCCTAATTCATAGAGGAGAAGAAATACGCAAGTCACAAAATTTTTTTTTGAAAAAACACATTCAAAATAGGATAGCATTTGTTAGGGGATGGATCCCTTATTGTTGGTGGGTCTAGCTCAGCTCAAGTAGTATCAAGGTCACCCACGAAAGTCTCTTAGGGGAGATCTTAGATTCGATTTTGGAAAGGTCTCTTACGAGAAACAAATAAACAATAGGCCAACACCCAAGTTCTCTGTACCCACCAACGATAAAGAATCCGTGCCCTAACAGCATGTATGCCAAAAACTGCAGCAAAACTAGACCGAGTTTTAATACAAGGTTTGTGAAATGTGAATCACCATCTCCTTCAAAGGAACCTGTCTCTGTCAGCCTAATTCAACTAAACCGGAGTGGCCCCTCTGCAGTACCTAAAAGACTATAATAGAGAAATTTCAGTTGTTCACCTTCTCTATTAAATGTGCTCCGATATTATTACGTGACAAAATTTAAAAGCTGAGAAGTCCAGAAACATTGAACCTCGTACAATCTTTTAACCAGTAGCAATACGGTAATATTACAGGTATAATGTTAAAATGTTGGACAGTAATTAACACAGATTTCAATTTAATATATTATATAATATATTTATTAAAAAATTATTATTTTTTAGTTTAAAATTAAAAATAAATAAATTTAAAGATACAATCATACACACATAAGATATAAAAATTAACTGAATTGATTATATTTATATTATATTTTTAATGATTGAATTGAAAGCATATCAAAAAATATATTCAATTGAGGGTATATAGCTCATTTTCTTTAAATGTTTTATATAATAGAATATAACATTAGAGGAGACGTGATTTAATTAAAAGTATTAATTATAAAAATAAATTGTTAATTTGTACT